TTCTTATATTTTTACAAGCCCGGGCGGGGGGAAAACCCGTCACCCCCCCCCCTCCCCCCAAAACCGGGCTCCCGGGATCTGGGGTTTTGGGGCCCTCCGGACGAGCCTCGAAGCGGCCCCCCGGGCCTCGCAGGGCGTTTTGCCAGGCCTTCCCAGCACACCTAGGGCGATCGGGGGGGTCATCGGAGACGTCCCAGAGACCCTGAAGACAGCATAAGAGCGCTCCAAGAGTGACCGACGTGACCTCAAGGCGACCCCCAAGAAGCCATCATATCCTCAAAGATCGTCCCGAAACGTCCCAAGAGACCTCCAAGAGCACTCTCAAGAAGGCCCCAAGAGGCAACAATCATTGATTTTCTATAGGTTTCTGGTGAATTTTGGGGTTCTCCTCTTTTGGGTTTCCCGACGCTCCAAGGCGGCGGTCTTCTGGGCGTCCGAAGCCGCCTGGGAGGCTTTGAAATCGCCCCATAACCATTCCAAAGGGCTTCCAGGCAGTCCAAGAAAGCCCCAAAACGGCACAACAGGGGTCCAAGATGACCCTCAGAGAGCCCCATGGCGGCCCAAGATGGCCCCAAGATACCCTCCGAAGCATTCCAAATCGTGACCCGGTCGTTCAGGGAGACCGCGGTTGGAGGCATGGCGACCCGAGGAAGCCCCCAGAGGCCCCCAGAACACGCCCAAGAGGCCTCCAGAAGGCCTTAAGGAAGATTGACATAACTTTTGCGAGGCCCAAGGAGGAGCCTCCGCAAAAAAGAGCCGAGGAGGATGGGAAGAATGCGCATGGCATGGCGAAAATGATGAAAAAGAAGCATGTAGGAAGGATAACGGATAACATAATTATAGCGGCGATGCCAGAAACGGCAACAAGGAGTTATCGCAACATTGTCGCCTTGACCTTCCTGCTATTCCGCCTGCATGCCAAACTTCAAGGACCAAGGTGCATGGCGCGAAGCGCCACTGCAGTCTTGTATATGTATATATATATATATATATATATATATATAGTATGGCCTCCCGGGGGCCCAGACCAAGTGCCCCGAACGGGGCCACGGGGAGCCCCCAAGATTGGCCCAAAGAAGCCCGAGATGGCCTCGGGACGGCTCTCGAGGCCGCCAAGAAGGCTTCACATGACCTCCAGACATTCCCAGACAGCTCAAGATGGCCCCACGAGGTTCATAAGAGGCCCCGAAGAGGCTCCCAAGAGGCCTCCTAGAGGCGCCCAGATCTTGCCTTTTCGCTTCCGCTGGGCCTCTGAGGCCTCAGGATGGACCGGAGGGGAGCCCCAGGGGGTGTTGGGAAGTGTGCGAGTAGGAGACCGATAGATTTATCCCAAACTTGCTTTCATTTTCGTCGAACCTGCAACACAATACGTTCGCATTTTTCGTGGATTTGACGGACGCGTAAATTTTCGGGTACGTGAATTCTGTAGTCGATCTACTCGACTTGTGTGAGAGGGGGGGGGGCGAGGCGGTGATAGAGGTGTGTGTGTGCGTGTGTGTGTGTGTATGTGTGGTGGAGCGCCTTGGCATCTTGCCGGATGCGGTCCAACCTGGGCGCACAAGTACTTGTCGCACCTTGTCCTGTGCCTCCCACCTGGGCGGCGCGCGGCCCTCGCCGTCCACCCTGCACGCTGTGCTCTTCATCGACGGCTTCGCCACCCGCGCCCGTGGGTGCACCGGCGCCGCGGCCTGGCAGCTGCCGCGGTCCCCGCTGGCGGGGCGGGCCGCGCCAGCTCACGCAGGGATGAGACCCGTCCGCCCCTGAGTGGCCCCTCTGCGGCCGCCCGCCCTGCCCTGTTTTCTGCCCGTGTCTGCTGGCCAGGTCGCTACAACGGCACCTCTGTTTGGCCCGCTCGCTGGTGCTGTGACCTCAGCCTCGCCGCCGACGGAAAAAGTGTATGGTGGAGCGCCCTCGGACCTTTCGCGCCCCCCCCCATTCGCGCCCCACCCACAAACCGTACAGGCCAATCGCCCCAGAGGCCCAAGAGGGCTCCGAGGGCGCCAAAGAGACTTCCAAGAGCCCCGCTGGACGGCCTCCAAAAGCGTCGTGCGGGCCAAGAGCGCCCCACGACAACCGAAGGCCCCAAGAGGCCCCTAATGGGCCCCCCGAAGGCTTCCAGGAGTCCAGCGAAACATCCGAATCGTTCAAACACAAGTGGAACATTTAATGGGTTTTTGAGACCTCGCCATCTCACTGTCGATGGGCCTCCGAGGCCTCAGGTGCCCCCCAAAAGGCCCAAATGGCTCACGAGACAACCCAAGAGGGAGGGGCCCGAGAGAACCTTGAATCAAATTCCGGGAGGCCCCCCAAACGCTTCCGAGAGGCTTCCCGAGGCGCACAGGTTGCCACATACTTCCTGTGGCTTCTGTGGGACCGTCTGGTCGACGACGACGATTCTGATGCTGATTCTGGTGATGATGGTGATGATGGTGATGATGATGGGTAGGACGATGACGGTGACGACCTGAACGGTTAGCGTGGTTGTGGTGGTGGTGGTGAG